AGGCACTGGAATAGTGGGGGGAGGCTGCAGGTTGGGACCAAGGGGTGTCGGCAAAGTTGTGTTTGGGGGTCCAGCACTGGACTAGGGGGGAGTTGTGAGCCAGGAGGGCATCAGCCGAGCTGTGTGTAGGGAGCCCAGGGCTGGGATAGCAGGGGGTCAGGGTCCAATGGAGGCAGCTTGCATGGGGGGGCTAGTTCCTGACTCAGCCACCTCAGTCCCTCCCTCATATTCCAGGAACAGTAAGATCCCTTCACCACTTCCCATCCCCCTCGTGCAAAGGCTGCGCAGTGTTGCTTTTAGCAGCACTCATGGGCATTGCAAGCCCTGCTGAGCCCCACCCTGACCAGGGCCTTTCCCCAAATCTTCAGGGTGCGCCAGCCCCCCTCTCCCTGCGGCCTGCGCTGCGAAGGAGTTTGCATTAGAAGACAGGCTCTTTTGGACGCTAATTCTAGAGCTTGCTTTTTTTACGGCCCCGTGAAGTGCTTTGGTGTTCCAGAATAGAGTAGATGCTGTTGTCTGATGCGCTCACGTATGTGTGTGTGTGTACGCGCGCGTGCAAGAGGGTAGCTGTTTGTTTCCCTGAAGATGAGCACACGCGGGTGGGCGGTGCGTGCGTGAACACCTGTTCAGAGGAAGGTGCTTGCGTGGTCTACGCTTTTGTGCAGTTGGAAGTTTGGGCAGGTGCCCTGGTTGGTGAGTGCCAGGCTGGAGGGGTGGCAGAGGTGCCCTGAGGGTGTGCCCCAGATTCACCCGCTGTGGAAGGAAACACAAAGTCCCTGCAGCTGGTCTCACCCTGTCCCTTTGCCGGGGGCTGGCCTTGTTTTCTGCAACCAATTCAAATGCAGAACAAATCAACTCAAGCTACTGGGTAACTACTCCGCTCGCCCGCCATGTCCCCTCTAGCTGGGGAATGGGGAGGCTGTACACCTTTTCCCTAGGGTAGCCTCCTCTGCCCCCTTCCCCTGTGCTTCTATAACCCCTTCCAGACCAGCTGTGGGACCAAATAACCCATGCACATACCAGAGTGCCTTGATGCCACCCAGGTAGGCCCATGGCCTGTTGCTTACCCAAGTAGCTCTGTGGATTGTGCTGGACAGTGGCGTGACATTGGCCCTGGGGGATGGTTCCTGATCTGTATGGGTCAGGTACATCCCCAGGCTGGGCCCCGACTAGCCCCCGCCCCTCTGTGACTGGTCCAGCCCACGGGTACAGCCCCAATTAGGAGCGTCGCCCTCAGCAACATAGCTGGCGTCTCCCACCGGGGGCTTGGCATTTCTTGTCAGGCCTCGGTATAGAAGCAGCAGGAGACTCGCACACACGTCCTGGCTGAGCAGCCTCCTGGACCTCAGTAGAGTTAGCATCACCGTGTCCCGGCCCACGGCAACAGCAAAGTGCCAGCAAGGGGAGCTTGTCCAGCACGGCTGCCCAGGCTGGGCGTTGCCCTGTGCTGCCAGCCACGTGCCATCAGTCAGGGCTCTGGGAGGGGTCACTGCAGCAGACAGATGGAGAGTGGCCAGTGCTTCTTACAGACCCCAAGAGTCAGACTCAGGGAGGCTCTTCCCAGCTGGGTCATTAAGTCCCTGGGGCAGCCACAGTCTGCACTGATCTGGGTCACTTCGTTTTCTGGGCATCCAGCTCTGGCTTCAGCAGCTTCTTTAGGGTGTCTGTTACCCGTGGGGCGCGCTGGTGCACGCGGTGTGGGGCTGGGGAATGAAACGCACCTCCCCCTGTTTGTGCTGGCAGGAGAATGGGCTGCAATGGGGTGGGGGGGGGTCAATTCTGAGCACTGGCCTCAAGGAGAATAAAAGCAGATCAGCCTCCAGGGAGTCGGGGGGGGGGGCAGTTAATCTTCAGGGGGCTGGGGGGGCAGTTAATCTCCAGGGGGCTGCCCCTGGTTTGAAGCGTGTGTGTTCTGGTGCATCGGGGGGGCACGCTGGCTTTCCTCCCCAGCTGGATGAGGGGACAGGACAATGGTGGCTTCTCTAACGTCTGAGCTCAGAACGGGCGGCCTAGGGCAGTGCCGGCCGCCAGTCGCTCGCGCCGAGTGCAGGGAAAGGCTCCGACGCCCCGTGAACAGGGCAGGGGGTTGGAGGTCGTGTATGAGTCTGCACTGGTGGTACCGGAGGCCCAGGCCTGCCCTGCCGTCCAAGGAGGGGGGACCCTCCAGGCCAGGGTTGGTGCAGAGCAGCTGGGGGTGGCAGCCCTGCCAATGCCGAGCCCATTTGCAGACAGAGGTCACCGCAGTCCCCGGGCCGCCAGCTTGCACTGGTACCCGTGCCCAGGCACTGATTAGTGAAGGGCCCCCCCACACCCCTCGCCCAGTGGGGTGCTGGGGCCAGGGTAACGCCCCAAAGCAGCTCACCCCCCGAACCTGGCAAAGGCTCTAAAAGACGTTGGGCCGGGCTCTGCTCCCAGCCACTCCAGCGTCACTCCGCTCCCCGGACGCCAAGGGACTGACTTTGGATTTCCAGGACTTGTCCCCTGGCATTTCCCAGGACGGGGGTGAGGTGCCTCCGGGCCCGGCGGCAAAACCCCTGGAGCTCTCAGCGGCCCAGACCCACTCATCTGCCAAGGGGTCAGCATGGCGCGGTGCGGGTGTTTGCTCTGCTCCGCGGGTGCTGGCTTGGTTTTGTTTACAAGGCCGGGTTACGCATTTTAAACAGGCTCTTCCAAAACCCAATTACCTCCAGAAGACAGCCGGGTAAAAGTGGCATAAGTGGCTGTGTGGAAATCTCCCTGCGCAGCAGCCTGGGGAAAACCGACACAACAAAGCCTCTGTAAATTGAGTTAACCGCTTTTAATCCTCTTTACAGATGAGGAGAGCTGATAATTATTTTCTGCAGCCGCTGTCAGGGCCCGGGGGGGGGGGGGGGGGATAAATAACTGCCCTGCACCAATGGGCTGCGGCAGGCCTGGAGTTCAGCGGCCGTGTAGCCAGGTTGAATTATTCTCTGTTACACGCTGCCTCTCCCACCTCTCCACTCTCTGGGGAAGGCCGGTTTGGACAGCTTGTGGCTTGTGCCGGCCTTGGTGATGCCAGACCATTCCCCTGTTCCTCCACCGCAATCCTAAGTCGATCCGCAGCTTCCTGCTCCCTGGACCCTGGCCTTTCAGGTAACCTTCCTGGGCCTCCTCGCTCTGTGCCCGGGCTGGATGGCTGGGCACCCCGGCTCGTCTGCTGCTGCGAGCAAAGCTCAGGGGGTGGGGGGGTGGCTCGGGTCTCACTGTGCCTCTGGGGAGTCCTTTCAGGGCCGGGTCCGCGTTACGCAGGTAACGCCTGCGGTCCATGCAGCTGGGTGGAGATCGGAAGGGGACCATAAGGAAACCAAAGGAGTAACAATAGCCAGCTGCTGGTGACTGCACCAGAGCTCAAAGCGGTGGGCTGGGCTGGAGAGTGAGCACGAGAGCACAGCTGCGCCGGGGGGTAGTCGAACTCGGAGCGAGAGGGACAAGGACAGGAGCCCTGCTGGCTGGGGTCTGCCGAAGGGAAGGGGGAGGCAGGAGGGACCCCGGAGCAGGGCCTGGGGGCTAGGCGTGAATGTCCACCATTGGCCGAGTCCGTGGTGCTCACTGCTCACGGAGACAGAGGAATACACAAGAGCTGGGCAGACCTGGGGAGTGCGGGGCTCTGGCTGAGGGACGCTGTGTGGGGCCGGAGTCATATCAGCGCTGTGGGGGAGCGGCCGCCATGTTCCTGTAGCGACCCGCATCCAGGGTCTGTCAGGCTGGTGCGGCGTGTCCCCGCATCCATCCGCAGGGCAGGCAGCCAGGAGGGAGGGGGTGTGCCGCTGGGCACGTTGCAGCCAGAACTTCCATCCGGCAGGAGCTGCCGGCGCTCCCCCCCCCGAGGGGCTGCTCTGGGCTCCGTTTAAAGGGGCGAAGAGTGCTAGCATTCAGCCTCCAGCCCTGTGCACTCTCCCCTCGGCCCCCCCGGCTGTGGGGCTGGGAGTGGGGAGGAGTCCATGTTGTGAACTTGGCGGCGCTGAGAACCTTCCCCACCTGGCAGATCTGCTGCACCCGCGCCCTGCCGAGCAGGGAGGCCGGTCAGTCACTCGGCCCTGTGCTGCCAGGGGCTCCAGAGGACAGGAGCAAGGTTCTGGAGGCTGCGCGGGGTCTAGTTCTCCCTTCTGCTGTCACACTGAGATGAGACGATCCATCAGTGCCAACTCCCCAGCTGGCACAGGGTCTGCGATTAAACCAGGCTGGAGCATGAATGTCCTTCGGCCCTTGGCTAGAGCCAGAAAGGCATACCGCAGCAGGGCTGGGGAGGGAACGGAGCCTGGCCTCGGGGAAACTGACAGGGTCCGTCATCGAGCGCTGTCAGGGCTGTTACTTTGGGAAGGGGAGTAGCCAGTCAGCAGGATTGTCAGCATCAGGGCAGCCCTCCAGGGCTTGGCCATGCTCCCTAGGGACCCTGTTTGTCACTGAGCTGGGACCGTGCTCGCTCCAGGGGCATGACGCTGGTTTCCCCCATCTCCTTCTCCCTGCTGGTGCTGGAGGAGTCTCTGTGCTTGTCGGCCTGCGTGGCCAGGGGATGACTGCATATGAGAGACCATGTCTGTGTGGAAGCCAGGAGCCGGGGGGTGGCGGAGGGTCTCTCATCATCCAAAACAGGGCTGAGCAAAATGTAAGAGGAAGCTCATGAATATGCCTGAGAAAGTTGGCGTCATCTTGTTCTTCTAACCTGTTCTGCGTCGGGCCCATCCCCCGGGTATCTGAGCCCCCCGGTACAGTCACTTTCCCTGAACTCTCCTGCCATGGAGCGTCACAGGTGCAATCTCTAATCATTGGGGTTGGGAGGAGACCTTCTTGGGGCCAGATCCCCCATCTTCCCCTGCAGGGTCCCTACACCTTCCTCTGCAGCACCCAGTGCTGCCACTGTCAGATACTCAGCCAGGCAGCCCTGGGGTCTGTCATCCTGAACCCCGCAGGAGCCCCCTTTCCCCTCCTAAGCACAGAGTTTGCCTTTGGATTTTCACTCTTTTCTGTTCTCTCCCCAGGCTCTTACTGCTGCCCGACCCCAGGGTGGAGATCAAGGTAAGCACCAAACCTCCCCTTCCTGCTTTAGAGTGCGAGGAGATAACTTCCCAGGGGCTGCACCAGCCCATTACTGCCCATATCCCCCTTCCACCCAGGAACTCCCAGGGAAAGACTCAGGCCCTGGTTATTGTCGGGGAGCGAACTCAGCGTGCTGTGATAGACTGGGGCCGACTTGCGTTAGCCTGTGACCCGCCCCAACCCCCGGCATTCTGGTGGGATTTGTTGTATCCTGTGATGTTGCCCTGAGCTGGCCCTGCACTGCTGATGCTGAACTGAAATCCTGGGGGGGCTCTGGCCTGCTGCGTGATGCAGAGCGTTTCGGGTCTGGACAGCGTGCCTAGGAGGCTGTTTAGTTGGGGGCGGGGGGAGTTGAGGCCAGATGCCCGGGGCGCTTTGTGTTGCTCTGGCCCCATGTGGATAAAAGTTGGGCAAAGCAGCGAGATGGCCGTGTTGCATTCAGGCTTTCTTTAGAACAGCTGTAGTGCCCGGCCTAGCAGGGAGCTGGAAAGAAACTGAAATAAGTCAATAAACCCAACTTTCTCCTGGGATCCGCCCGCCTAGATCCATTCTGCCGCAAGGCACGGAGTGGCAGCGGCTGGGGGTGTTCGGCTCAGCCTGGTTTGATTTCTGTCCTCGTTGCTCATTTGGTAGCAGTAGCTAAAGCACTGGGGCCTTTTCTAAGCCGTTGCTATATTGACCGGGCATTAACTCTCAGCTGTGGGGGTGTTGCTGAAAGGGTGGGGGCAGCATGCAGGGCCTCAGTCTGTCCCCTCTTCCCCCGCTCTTGTTCCATGTGCAGAATTTCGTACGATGAGCCCCCTGCTGTGCAAGGGAGACAGCCCCCTCGGAAGAGGCTCCCTGAGGCGGCTGGTGGAGGGCAGGGGATGTTGATCTGTCATCAGAACAACTTCTCCCTCCCCCTCGCAACATGCTGCAAAGCCCAGTTGGGAGATCTGGCTGGGGAAACACTTACCTGCCCTGCTGAAGGGTTCCCCACACATGCCATCGGCTGCTCTCAGCTGGCCCTGGGTCGGGAGGAAAGCTACGCCCTGATGGGAGCTGTGCAGCGGGCACAGGGTTGGTGTATCAGGGCAGCAGTTCCTAACGCACCCGGCATCTCCTGGCGTTCGTGAGTGGTGCTTGGGGCTTCCCCTCCCCACACTGGCGGCGAGTTCCAGGGCCAAGCCTACCGGGCACTGTGGGTACCAAGCTGCCCACACTCAGAGCCGAGGGAACGCGGCCTGCCTGCACTGCTGACTCTGGGCAGTAGCCGGGCGCTCACCCAGCCAGCTGCGAGCTGGCACACGGCGGATGGCGCTGCCCGGCCTGTGTCTGGTTAGACTGGCCCCAGCACCTGGCCAGGCTGAGATGCTGCCGTAGTGCCTCGGGAAAGGCTTAAGGACCCAGCCCAGGAACAAAGGAGGCACTGATAGATGGGCTCGTTCATTCCCCCGGCTGTCACACTGATCTGTAATGAATCTCCACTCGGCTGGATTATTTTTAATACAACAGGCAGCAATGTCTCTCTCCCGCCCACCGCCCGGCTGCTGGGGGAGCCGCACATAGGAGCCTGCAGCGGTGCTGGCAGTGAGGTTGCAGAGAGAGGGCTCGCTCCCCCGCCCAGCACCGCAGCGGCACCATTGAACCGCACGGCCGGGGCGGCTGGGAGAGCTGGGGGCCGGGGATGGTCGGAGCGATTGGTCTCTGAGGCTGTTGGGGAGGCGGTGACTGTGCGGGGGACCTGGAGAAGCCATGCCAGGGCCAGCAAGGAGACAGGAGACTAGCCCAGCCTGCGGAGCAAGTGTGCGGGGACCTGGGCTCCAGTCCTCGTTTGCTTGTCACCATCCCAGGCAATGGCAGCTAGAACGGGGTCACCCTCTGCTGCACCAGAATCTGTCCCGACTCCCCTGGCTCCAGCGTGCCGGGTGCGAGGCTCTTGTCTGGCAGGGAACGGAGACAAGGGCCGGGGGCTTCAGCCTGCAGTGAGAGAACTGGACCTTCGGCCGGCAAAGCCTGTTGTGCTAGGGCAGAATAGAGCCATTTCCTGGGGTCCCTGCTAACCCACCGCCCCTGCGGGGAGTGAGAGGCTTGTTCCGTGCAATGGGGTGACCTTGCATCTGTCCAGGGTGGAGTCACTTGTTGCTGTGTTGCCCACGCACTCGGAGTTGGTGATTCCATGTGCATATAGTGCTGGCTGCAGCCCATTCGCCTGGCCGGGGAGTGGCTCTGCGGCGCAGGGCTGATCTCTGCTTTGGCAGGACTGGATCGCGCTGCCTTGCCACCAGACCCCGGGCTCGCCTCCCACGAGGCCACACGGCCCGTCTCTGTGTGGGCAGTGGCTGGGATTCGCTTCCCCCCGGGGACTGTGCTCCAAAGAGCGAATCCGTCAGGACAGATCCCGGGGGAGGTGGCCGCCAGGTCCACCTTGATCACAGGACTGAGGCTCCACAAGTGCTGTGGGGAGGGGAGGACGTCTCGGCGAACCCGCAGAGCCCCACAGCAAGGAGACGCTCGGCCACCTCTGCCCCAGCCGGCGGGGTTGTGGTCAGAGAAGGACCTGGCTGGGGAGGTTATTTCCCCATGGGCTGCACCCGGCCAGCACTGAGTGAATGCCCCTCCGGCAGGCAGGTGAGCCCGTGGGTACTAGCCACTCACCACTGCTCTCAGAGGCAGGAGGCCCAGCCATTTCCCCTGGCTGGACCAAGCCCACAACGGTTATTATGGACTCCTCCATGCAGGGGGCTGCATCCCCCCTTGCCCCATCCCAGGCAGGTACCAAGGGCGGGTGAGAGCCGGTTCTCCCCGTGTCGCACGGTGGCCCGTGACCATCCAGCTGCACCACAGTGCAAAGAGCAAGGCCCTGTCCACGCGGCACGGTTCACCTGGATTTTAAACGCGTGTCGTCGTGTGTTGAGCACTCCAGAGGGGCCGTGCGGGATGGCCATCGGGGATCACCTTCTCTCCGCAGTGGGCCGCGTGCGTCGCTCGCACCTGGGCACAGCGGGGGTGAAACACTACCACTGACCGTGCTCCTCTGGCAGCATTTCACCTTCACCTCTCGGGGGGGGCTGCAGGTCAGGATTGAGGGGCACCGGCAGGACTGTGGAGGGAGCCCCAGAACGGTTCTGGTCCCTGACATCCCTCTCGGCCCTTTCCCTGCGGGGCAGCTCAGTGATAACGCCCCCCCACCCCACCCCGCCTTAGGAATCGCCCTGATCCTTGTTCTCTGCCTGTATCCTGCCAGAGCTGCCCAGGCTTCTGTGGTTGTCTCCAGTGCCCCCACCCCTTCCTCTGCCCATCTTGGCTCCCCACAGCGCAGGTTACAAGCTGCTGCTAATAGCCCTCTTCTCCTCCGCCGTGTTCATCTGCTCTCCTTGCCACTTCACCATCCATCGTTTGGACACAAACCCTCCTGTACGTCTCGAGGTCCCCTGGCCCAGGGCCTGCAAGTACAGTGTCAACTCCAGCCACGGTGTAACACGCACACCCTGTCCCTCCTTGTCCCAGGCTCCCCCTTCCTCAGGAACCTGCTGCTTGCCAGCTTCCCAAATTTCTGGGCTTCAGGACCTCCCACGAGGCTCCCTCGCTGCTCCTGGAGGAGGACTACATTTCCCAGCATCCCTCTTCCCAGACTCACAAACAGCCAAGTATCTGACTGGGAGCTGGGTCCAAATAACCCTTTATAAACTAGGCTGCCCGGCAGGGGAGAGCTGACAGCACTGTGTGGTTGTTCATGTAACGAACTGCAGCTGAGCGCCCAGCCCTTTAACTCTGGTGCTTAAATGGCCCTAAAAACCTCCTTCCCTGCAGCTGTTGTAGGATTACTGGTGAGCGCTGGGTTGTCGTTCTTGTAGGGATGCTGGTGTGCACTGGGTTGTCATCGGGTTGCTGGTGAGCGCTGGGTTGCGTGCGCTGGGTTGCCGTTCTTGGAGGGTTGCTGGTGAGCGCTGGGTTGCGTGTGCTGGGTTGCCGTTGCTGGAGGGTTGCTGGTGAGCGCTGGGTTGTGCGTGGGTTGCCGTTGTGGGGTTGCTGGTTGTTCCGTTCTTGGAGGGTTGCTGGTGAGGCTGGGTTGCGTGTGCTGGGTTGCCGTTGCTGGAGGGTTGCTGTGGGTTGCCGTTGCTGGAGGGTTGCTGGTGAGCGCTGGGTTGCGTGCGCTGGGTTGCCGTTGCTGGAGGGTTGCTGGTGAGTGCTGGGTTGCGTGTGCTGGGTTGCCGTTCTTGGAGGGTTGCTGGTGAGTGCTGGGTTGCGTGCGCTGGGTTGCCGTTGTTGGAGGGTTGCTGGTGAGTGCTGGGTTGCGTGCGCTGGGTTGCGTGCGCTGGGTTGCCGTTGCTGGAGGGTTGCTGGTGAGCGCTGGCTTGCGTGCGCTGGGTTGCCGTTGCTGGAGGGTTGCTGGTGAGCGCTGGGTTGCGTGCGCTGGGTTGCCGTTGCTGGAGGGTTGCTGGTGAGCGCTGGCTTGCGTGCGCTGGGTTGCCGTTGCTGGAGGGTTGCTGGTGAGCGCTGGGTTGCGTGCGCTGGGTTGCCGTTGTTGGAGGGTTGCTGGTGAGCGCTGGGTTGCCGTTGCTGGAGGGTTGCTGGTGAGTGCTGGGTTGCGTGCGCTGGGTTGCCGTTGCTGGAGGGTTGCTGGTGAGCGTTGGGTTGCTGGTGAGCGCTGGGTTGCGTGTGCTGGGTTGCCGTTGCTGGAGGGTTGCTGGTGAGTGCTGGGTTGCGTGTGCTGGGTTGCCGTTGTTGGAGGGTTGCTGGTGAGCGCTGGGTTGCGTGTGCTGGGTTGCGTGTGCTGGGTTGCGTGTGCTGGGTTGCCGTTGCTGGAGGGTTGCTGGTAAGTGCTGGGTTGCGTGTGCTGGGTTGCGTGTGCTGGGTTGCCGTTGTTGGAGGGTTGCTGGTGAGCGCTGGGTTGCGTGTGCTGGGTTGCGTGTGCTGGGTTGCGTGCGCTGGGTTGCCGTTGTTGGAGGGTTGCTGGTGAGCGCTGGGTTGCGTGTGCTGGGTTGCCGTTCTTGGAG